ACATTTATGGATCCTTATTGAACGTGTGTAAGTAGGAATGACGCTCCTTGGTGTTCGGACTCAGGTCTCCAATAGGTTCATGGTGCTTAGTGTGATGACATAGTGCACTTGATAGCTATTAGAGATTCATGTATTTCTCGTCGAAGACTTATGTTCTTTTGAATAGGCATATAGTAAGTAAAAAGCTTTTGAAAAGGAATGAGAATATAGGGCAGCCTTGTCGAACTTTACTGGAGACCGCAGAGGGTATTGAAATCTGACCATAGACCTTAGCCCGACCTGAGGTATGACGATATAACTCTTTGGGGATCGACACACCTCTCTGGTACTCCATTCTTCAACAAACAGTTCCATATTGTGGTCCCCTCGATAGAGTCGAAGGCCGCGCGGACGTCTAAGAACACAATGATTGTTGGTTTTGAGAGGCATGACGGTGCCATAGCAGCTGTCGGAGGGTGAAGATTTGATCGACGCATCCATCACCGGTGCAAAACCCAGCCTACTCATCGCGAGTGTGCTCTTCAAGTGTCTTGTACCATCGGCTTAGAATGACGGATACCAACAGCTTTGACGCAATTGGGATCAGGCGTATATCCCTACGATTGGCGCAGTCACTGCACGGGCTCTTTTTGAAGATGGTGACAAAAGTCGATTCTACCCACGAAGAGGGAGCCTGCTCAGTGTGCCAAACTTTAGAGAACAGAGCCATCAATTCCCTAACAAGGTTTATTCCACAATGTTTAAATAGAACTAAGGGAAGGCCCTAGGATCCCGGCGCTTTGTGACTTTCCAAGGCTTAGATCTCCTTACGGATTTCCGCCTCAGAAGGTGGGTCTGTTGAGAGAGACCATGGGACGTGTACGGAAATAGCTGTGTGGGAAGCTGACATTGGTGGCCATCTAAACTGAGTTTTGAAGTGCTCCGCCCAGAGTGCAAGACGTCGCCGTTGCTTATGAATGTGCGAGCCGTCAGCTTCGCAGATCATTTCGCCTGCACCCAAAGCTTTCCTACTGGTGACCCGGATGAGACGGAACAGTTTACGGGAGTTTCCCGTGGCGCTCAGTCCACCAGACATCGCGGCCTCTATAGGTTTTCGTTGAGGTTGCATCTTGTTACGAGTTGTATTTCATTATGCTCGCTGCAGGTCGGAATTGATCGGCGTGCATCAAGAAGATGTAGGGCCTCCGCAGAAATCCAGGATGTTGCGGCGCAACGTGTCAGTACACAACCATCTGAGCTAGCCGAATGCTGACAGAATGCTTGGAATAAATTCACATAGTGTATACTTAATAATGCCCGGAAAATAAATTAGCGTATTTTTCTCGATAGTTTACCAACTGGTCGTTGGCCACCATTTGTGATTCTTTGTTTGTGATGCAATATCAGACTCCTTCCATTCCTTCTTTTGTTGCTTTTTGTAAGTCGGGATTATTTTGAGTTTTTAAAATACCTGGGGTCAATTTCAATGAGGCATTGATTTGCTCCTAACAGAACAAGCCAAACAGTATCCTTTCGAGAAAACTGGGATGTCGACGCAAGGAATAGCGACTGCCTGTCGGTAATTCGAAGAATTAGATAATTTTATTACTATGATTATTGTAATCCTGCTTTGGACTGAATATCTTTTAGACTTTCCCTTCACAAAATCCNNNNATCCTCAGTTCCTCCTATCTACCGTACACCCGGGAACCATCAGACTCGAATTTCGTTCTTCTTAGGGGGCGCCAGTAGTGCATATCCACTCTCTCCTCCGGGTTTTGGGTTCTGGACCCATTAGGTGGAAGGCGTGTGTGTGTGTGTGTGTGTGTGTGTGTGTGTGTGTGTGTGTTAAGGTNNNNTGGATATACACTACCGATAACTTCTGTGGAGGGCGAAACTTGTTTCCAGTGTGCTTCCCGAGTGTTTCATTGACCGGATGAACTGAGGATTGGAAGATCAGTTCACTAACCACAACTAATTGTGAGTTAAAGGTTAATTTTGATGATCAATAAGGACGTGAATTTATTTGTTTTGTTTCGAACTGTGGATACTCCATTCACAAATGTTTTAGTCATATGATTGTAGATTTTTTGAAAATGCTTTCTTGCCACTCTTACACTGAAGATGCGCTTTCACTTTCACTCTGTGTGTGTGGTTAGTTCTTTTCGGAATATGTTTTAAACTCAATGAGATATTTTCTTGTGTAGTCCGTCTGAACTCCAAGATACCAGGGATTGTCTAATGCTGTTCTTTTTCCGGTCGTTTTTTCCGTTTCGTTCTTGATTCAGATACGCTTGCCGCATCAGGATTACTGAGCTCCGCACTGCATTGTCCGACAAACTGAATGCAATTCTTCGCTGGATTGAAGTTCATTGTCGGAACGACCGGTGAGTTTAAGTGTATTGTTGCACTGTGCATTAGTGTTCGCGGCCCTCGCAATTCGCGTGTCAGAGTTTGTTGATGCATACTTAAATACCTTGTAAAACACAAATCAATGCAGTTCATGTTTTTGTTCTATGAGAGTAATGGAGGATCTTATTTGTTTATATGCGGAATTCGTCATCGGATCAGCTGCTCCAGTGGCCGAGTGGGTTCTGTCTGTGAGGTCCTGGGTTCGATCCCCAGTTGGGTCGATGAACTCGCACTGCTGATGAGACCTAACCAGGTCGAAACAGTTGTCCAGTGCTTCCCAGCTTTTCAGCGCACGCCTCATTTACACGACGAGTTCATGTTTTTATCTGTGCAGTTTTCATTCCCATTCAGCGTTTTCATCCTTCAATAATTTGAAGTCCAGACTTTCACCGTGGACTATGGATCAAACAAAAACCTGAATTTAGCATTCTGCCGTCTTAGTTGATATCCTAAACACTGCTCGTTTTATGATTCATCCTCAGGTAATAGTAGTAGTGTTGATAACTGCAGAGCTTCTGTTGATGTAGTAGAGTTCAGTCGGCTGGTAAATATGTATTGGTCATCCATCATGACGAGACTGCACCTTGACTTGGTGTGATGGTTGCGTGCCTCCATGACCCTGCGAGCTACTAAGGATGGCTTATCATAGCCGTAGATCCATCCATGCCTGAAAG